TATGACAGGGCCCCAGCTTCAGGATTTATTTGTGTCCAAATACAACCTGGAGCAGACTCGGTCCTATGTGGACGTTCCTCGGTGATTTTCCCATGATAGACAAAGTTCATGTGTGGTTTCCTTTCCTCAGCTGAGTGCCAGTGATTGTTGCTTTGTGCAATGTGAAATAAAACTGATTTACTGAAATTTCCTCTACTTCAGCTGAAGGAGGAGGTTTTAGTCAGCTTTCAGTTGATTGCTTGCATCTTCATGACTTGGTCCCCATTTAGTTGTAGTTCTGCTTCATTTCCTTAGATTATACCTGCTTCAAAGGAATTTAAGCTGATGTTAAGCCTAAATCAACCATTAGCCAAGTTTTTCAACCTTTCAGCCAATATAACTAACTTTGTCTTAAAATTGCTCTTTCACTTAAGACCTGAGCATGTGGCTTGGATGCATGCTCACACTTTGATCATAGCTAAGCTGACGAGGCCATTTGGGCAACTTATAGTATGTATAAAGTTCAAAATACACAGTTTCCATCAGCTCATGTGTGCTTGCAAGCTCTGTGTGACAGAAATAACAAGAACCTGGTATAATATCCTTTAAATGGAAATTTGTGCTTCACCTGCAGCAGTTAGGTGTTAGGCTGAAAGCAAGGCAATCTGAGTGAAATTCTCTGTCCTGGGTTTTGCAGAAATGCCAGCTAAGATATCAAATACAAGCATGCACTTGTACATCTAGACAGTTTAAAAGGCAGCAAAATTTCCTTCCTTTCAATACCAGTGACCCCCCATGACAATTTGAAGCAAGGTGAAGTTTTAGATTCCAGCCTGTTTCTGCTTTTATTTCATCTCAAGCAACCTGAGTTTTGTTTTATTCCTTTAGTATTTTCCATTTCCCCTTCTCAAGCACATCTGCCACAGGGTTTGAGATACCAGCCCAGCAGAGGACCGTTTCATGCCAGATGAGTTATTGCTGTTGACCTTTTGTAAGAAGCAGAAAAAGGATTTGCCCGCCGTGTATTTTTTTCTTCTTCACTTTGTAACAAATCTAAATTGAGGGCTAATCTACTTAGCACTGTAATGAAAACGAGATAATTCGGTTAAAATAAATGTTACCCTTGACCGGCACGGGCACGGGCATGCAGTTTGACCCAGTGCCTTTCAATTTGCTGCTGTATTAATCTCCGAGCCTGGATGCTGTTTCTCTGATGGTTCTTGTGCAGGAGAGTGAAGATGATGAGCCAGATGCGATGGAGGACGAGACGGGAAGTGAGGAAACCAGCTCAGAGCTCCGCGACGACCAGACGGATACCTCCTCCGCTGAGGTCCCCTCGACCCGGCCCCGGCGAGCCGTCACCTTGCGGAGCAGCACAGAGTTGGACAGACCCCCTCCCACCGAGAGAGCCCGGCGGAGCCGGAGACCACAGCCCCACTCCTATGGTGAGGCGGAGAAGTGCACGCAAGTCAAGGAAGTGAGTATGCCCACAAGCTTTCACCCCCAATAAATAGCAGTATTCTGCCTAAATTAATCTTCAGTACCAAGCCTTTCTCATCCAAGGAGGGTATACCTGGTTCCCCACACAAGGTACTTTCCTTTTTTTTTTGCTGTAGGAAATTAAGCAAGAAGAGGAAGAGAAGCTCATCCTGGACAGTAATCCGTTGGAGTGGACTGTGACTGATGTCGTGAGGTTTATTAAACTGACAGACTGTGCACCGCTTGCCAAAATATTTCAGGAGCAGGTAGAGGTTTTCATGGAACTCTTCTCTTTATGTCTGTGGTGCTTATTCACTACACAAAAACAAAAACAAAACCCAAAAAACTAGCACATACCACCTTGCTAGCTGGGCCTTGGGCTTAGACAAAGAATTTATGATCAAACTTTAGGTCCTCTCAGGTCAAGCTATAGCACAAATTCTGACGAGGCATGGAAACCCTTGGAAACTTGAATCAGAGCATTGCCAGCCACTCAAAGAGACCAGAAACAGCTCAGCTTGAGTGCTTGTGAAAAACAGGAGGTTTAGACCTTTGTTGTTCATGCCAGGGTCCACAGAACCATCCTGGTGTCACACAGGCACGTCAGTGTACCAACAGGTAGTGGTTATTGGGTCTCAGCAAGCTGTCTCCCCTGGTCACAAGGGTTCCACTCTGTATTAAAATACTGGCATGGGAAGCAGAAAACTGCTGCTTCAACCCAAAACTGGCTGCCTGAATTCTGACACTAACACCTAGATGCTTTGAGTGTGTAGACACCTACGTCCCATCTTCATCCCTCTGAAGATCTAGCAGTCAGGCCCTTGAATGACCTAATTTTAAGAGAGGGTAAGTATCTCCCCATTAAGCAGATAAATTTGCAGGAGCAGAAGCCAATGCTCTTCATCTCAAGCCAGCGTGAATGTGTAAAATTTATATAGGAACAGCCTTTCCTTGGCTAATGAGTTACAGCCACTGCTGAAAGTAAAGGTCAGTGCTAAGAAATCATAGCTAGAGAGAAGCAAGTGTGGTTAATTAGGGCATAGCCGGTGGCAGTCAGTGGCATGGCCAACTGCACGGTGAACTATCTCTGATTCTTCACCATGAGTAACTCTGTACCCCAGCACGGCTGCTTTGACTGGGAGAAGTTGAAGTGCAAGTCCAGAGCAAGGCTGAAACTCTCCTGATGCCGTAGCTGCCGCATCGGAGCGTGCTCCCACCATTTGTTAATCAGGCTGGAGTAATGCCAGGGCTTAAAAGCCAACCTCGTCTCTCCTTTGCCAAAGAGTTTTATGGGGGTTTTAATCAAACACAGATGACTGGAGCTTTTCCTTGTGATTTGCAAGGAAGCTCTGGTGCAATGGGCCATGCCATCAAGTTGCAGTGGAGGAAGAAACTGAGCTGTGGACAGTCCTGATCAAAGCAGTGTTTAAGGTGTCCATATCCTCCTTGTTTTTAATGCTACCTAATCAGGGCTGTCCTGGGGAGTTTATGTTGCCTGTGAGTTGCAGAGCTTTTTCTGCACTTAGGCTCTGATCCTCCCTAAGGGATAAAAAGCAGTTTTGTAGCCTGCTCGTCTGCTTCTCAGTCCATTAAAGAATAAAGAAGACTTGAGCTCTTAATTAAGAAGAGGATCATAAAGCCAACAGAAATCCCTAATAAAATGGCTTTTTGTGCTGGTTCATGGAATTTGGTGCATAAATATGCCTGAGGGAAGGGATGTGACCTCCTGAGGTCCCTTCAAGCCTCTTCAATCTGTGGTTCTGGGACATTAGAGAGTGTAAGGGCTCCAGATGGTCCAGGCCCCTCTGTCTTGGTTGTTAAGCAGCTAATATGGAACAAGGCAGGTCCTGGGTGAACCAGGGAACACAGCATGGAGCAAGGCAGACATAAACCTGTGCTGAGGAAATCATGAACCAAAAGTGGTAGGGAAA